CGTCGCCGTCAACGCTGCAGTCGCCGATCGACTAGAGTAAGGGCTTGTTTGGATTTGGATCTGGTGAAGGGAAGCGTAGGAGAATGAAGGGGAATTTATTTTAATTATTAAGTTATTTTATTGTTAGAGGTTAGATTGATGAATGTAAAATGTTCTCTTCATAATTATATAGAGGCCCAAAAAATAGAAACTTCATGTGACGAGTCCTCTTTTATTTTTCTTCATGTGGATAAACCCTAAAAAGTAGAGTTTAATATTTTTAGGCTCATTCACGTCAGCGATATACAAAAGAGCAATTGTATTTTGAAAAAAAACCCGAGTTTGCCTTTCTCCTTCGTCTCCAAACGCTTTCATATTTTTCCTTTGTACTTAAATTGTATAACATTCATTGCAATAAGGACTCACATGAGCCCAACAAAAAAAATGGTAGGCCTTGTAGTTAGTTAAAAATGAGATCGTATCATTATAAACAAAATAAGTAAATATTAATAATTCTTAAGAATGTACTACGTTTCCCTAGCTTCTATTGCAAACTTGTTAGTTGTTTATTCCTGACCCCAATAGGTTTTTAAAATTAATTATCTATTTCATAAAAATTTTAAAAATATTTAAATAAATTTTATGGCAAATGTAATAATCCATGTTTATAGATTTTAACTCAAAATGAATCTGACTTATTTTATAATAAGAAAATAAACAAAAAAATTATTGTGCTATTTAACCACGTGCAAATATTGCACGTGCACAAGAACTAGTGTTTCCTTAAAATATCAATAAACACACCTTTGACTTTGAACAATTAACAGAACACCCCACCCCCACCCCACACCCAAACTTTCAAAATATCAAAAAAACTTTTTTTAAGTGTTGGGATTATCACAAAACCCCCTTTAACTTTTAAGATTTTATCAAAAAAACTCCTTTAATTTTCAGATTTAATCAGAAAACACCCTTTAACTTTCAGATTTTATCAGAATATCCCCCTAAATTAGGAGGAGCTTTCTGATAAAATCTCAAAGTTAAGGGGGGCTTTCTGATCCCTAAACTTAAGGGGGGTTCTCTGATATTTTTACAGTTAAGAGGGGTTTTCTAATAACCATCCAAAGTTAAGGGGGATTTCATGAAATTTAGCCTTTATTTTCATCTCATCTGATTTGTACTCGTATTCGGCTCTGACAGGTATAGATATAGATTTTATGTTACCGGACTACGATCTATATTTGAAATCCAATTCCAAATCACTTGGGGACCCCAGTCACCTAAATTATTTGGATTTGAACTTAAATCCTGGATTAGAGATTCAACATCTCTCGAGATTCACTGGAAATTATGCTAATTGCCATAAAGAATCTAATAAAAGTTTATGTTAACTTTTTTTTCTTCATTCTGAGTATTACTTAGCTTTTGTCCTTTACAATATTTAGTCATGTTTGAATACAGACCAAACAATTTTGTGCAAGTTATGTTTGTGCAAAGTATGACCAAATAATTATTTATCCTTTTTCCATCTTAATACTATTGGTTTGGTTTAATGGGCCACACAACTAAAAGTTTTTCATATAATTTAGATGAAGTACATAATTCATGTAGATGGAATAGTTCCTCTAGATGCAGAAGATCTCTAGGCTTCCCCTCCATCCATCATCTTTATATTCGATGATAGGCTAATTAGCACTTAAATACCCTATAGTTTCGCTTAATTTGCAATTATATACCCTCACTTATTTTTGACTTTTGCATCCCCTAAAGTGTCCAAATTTGCACTTTAATAATTGTGCTAGGTAAACGTGCGAATTTTCATCAGAACGGTTGAGGTGATTAATATGTGAGAATAGTCCCACATCGGATAAGATAAGAAAGAGTGATGAGTTTAAATAGGAGTTTGGGGCAATACATGATAGCTATAGCTTTTGAATTAAAATTGATTCCTAATCTCTGTTTAAGGCCTATCCACTCTAGATTAGGCCCGATTTCTCCCCCAACAACGGTATCAGAGCTAAGGTCATGGTACAAGTAATTAAAAAAATAGATGATCTTCGATGTGAAGACCGAAGGTGTCGGGAGAATCCACGAACGGTGGAAGTTCTTACGGATGTTTGATAGATATGTGCTGAATGCATTCTCTGGTTAGCCCACGAGTGAAGTGGTGCAAAAACTTAATGAATTCCATGGAATATTGAATTATAGTTGAATTGAACTACACTCACAAATTAAGGGAGAGTTGTTGAGATGATTAATATGTGAGTATAGTCTCACATCGGATAAAATAAGAAAGAGTGATAAGTTTAAATAGGAATTTGAGTCAATACATTTTGAATTAAAATTGATTCCTAATATCTGTTAAGACCTATCCACTCTAGATTGAGCCCGATTTCTCCCCCAACAAGAACTACTCAATTTGTAGTTCTTAGTAAGATTAAACACACTATAATTTTAGTTCAAAATAGGATTAGGGTATGTTCGACAGTTAATTCAACAGACACTAAAGGTTAAAATGTTCTAAAATTATCTTATGAGCGTGACGTGAGAAGGTCTGGAAAAAAAAATTATCATGTTAAATATTTAAAGTGCATTATCCGAATTTACTTTGTCGAAAGTCATCTACCATCAAAAGTTTAGCAACACCAAAAAAAATAAAAAATAAAAAATAAAATAACCTCCTCCTTCCCGTTCACATTCCATTGACCGACAATGACCACGGCTGCGACGCCGAGCTACCCCCGCTGTCGACGGGGGCCCGTGGCTGCGTGCCGTATCCGAGATGGACCTCACCGTAGTCAAGAAGGCCATCAGCATCAGCCACCGTTGTCACGATACATCCAAATATCGACATTGCCTTCGTCAAGCATGAAATACAAATGTCAAATGTACAGAAAGCTTATAAACTTAAACTACCGGTGCACGCGCGAGAAATAAAAGTTAATACAAAGACTCGCAATTTATTCAAATATCAAACTATGATATGCTATAAGCCGAGGTTTACAAGATGAGACATAGTTGACGAGTAGAACAAGGTTTAGAAGTAGCTACAGCAATGAAACAATACCACCGCCAAGCATGAAATACAAAAAATTACGACGGACTTAGGACCGCTGGAAATTTCATGAAAACAGATTTCCACTTATTAACAGCGCAAAGTTTACTAACATCAGTATGCCCGCTGGAAATTTCATGAAAACAGATTTCCACTTAAACGGCACAAAGTTTACTAACATCAGTACGCAGCGAGAGTTGCATAGCAAAACTCAAACGTATGTACATTCTTACGAGATAAACAATCTCCACATAAGTAGATGCTCAAAGCAGTTAAAGAAAAGGAAACAACGCTACAGCAAGAGCATAGCAAGGGATTTTTCATTCCCAACCTTTAAAATTCATATTAACATTGACAACAAAACTGCATGCACATAACTTGACAATGGAGTCACACACCTGAACTTGACAGCAAAATCGAACTTGTATTCTATCCAAATTCAGAACGGCCATCACTGACAAAGAAATAAGAATCTACAGCACAAATGTCCTGGGGCCACACCTTGTTCTCTTTGTTGATACAAGTCAACAAACAGTGAATCAGTATACGATTTTTCGCTTGCCTAAGACCCTTGTAGTACATCCAAATTCAGCTTGTATTCAACTAATTAACCAAGTGCTAAACACTTGGTACACAGATACAATATTAAACATCAGGACAATGGTTAGCCAAGAATTTTTTTTGATACAAAACAACTACCTTTCATTTAGGCAGATACAAGCGTACTTGTCAAATAACGAGGATGACACTTTTACAAATTGATTTAAATAAAAAAGAAAAAGAAACTATTCACAGATTTGTACCTAGGTATCTAGATTATTTGTTGGGAGCCTCCAACGGTATTTATGCAGAATTCCTGATGACATGTGATATTCTGCAGAGGCTAATGAATATCGTAACATACAAGTTCACTTTGGGGGCTGTTGCATCAAGATATCACCTCTCTGTTCTTCTTGTCCCTGTAGCCATGGCCGTTGGATTTAAGAGTTATCAGTGTAGCTCTTCATTGGGACACGATGCTCAAATGTGAAGTCTACTTCGCTTGATAGCTATCATCAGCATAAATTGATACACAAGCATCGGCAGCACCAGAAGCTAGAAGAACTCTGTAAGGGTGGAAAGTAAGGCTGCTGACTGAACCTATTTTTTGACCCATGAATGTTGGGTAATATTTAATGATGCTCAGCTGTGTTCCCTCTAAACTGAAGACTTTGACAATTTGCTTTGCTGATCCACTTGCAATAACCGGGGCATGGCGGTGAACAGCCAATGCAGTGAGAGAGCCCCGATGAGCGTCAATAGTGAGATATGCTTTATCAGGATTTCTGATATCCAGGAACTGTATATCCCCAGCTTGAGAGGCACTCACAATCTGCATTTTTAATAGAGTAAATATCACACATTAACAAAATCATTTTGTTTTCACCAAATTGAAACTGGTCTTTTGGGTATAAACTAAAATATAGAATAAGAAATGAGTGCATCTGTAATAAATTAGAGGTTGCTCCTGAGGATAAAATGAGAGAGAATCGGCAAAGATGGTTTGGCCATGTACAACGGAGACCTCTTAGTGTAGCGATTAGAAAAAATGATAGTATTATAGTTAATGGGGCTAGGAGACCTAGAAGTAGGCCTAAAAGAACTTGGTTGGAAGTAAAAATGATGTGATTATTTTTAACTTAACGGAGATGTCTTGTAATAAAATGGAATGAAAGAATAGGATTTATGTAGCCGACCCCAAACATTTGAAATAAAGGCTTTGATGTTGTTGTTGTTGTTTCACCAAATTGAAATTTCCCACACAAATATCTGATAATCAAAAGAAAGGTATTGAAATGACTGATCATCATGGTTTCCTAATAACACTAGAAACAATAATTGCCAGAGAAAACATAGAACATGATCAACATGAGATTGCCCTCTGATAACACACAAAATCTGCCCATAATTTTTGAAAAAAAAAAAGATGTCTTTCAGAACGCCCACACTACATAATGAATGCAAAACTTCACCCAAAATTTTCAAAGGATTCATTTTATAAAGATCCCACAGCATCTTAATGAAGGATGTAGGCTGCCTAATGCAGTCCTCTATCTAGGCGCATATCAGTAGTGTAAATATCAAAAAGTAATCACAGAAGAGGAAAAGTCCAATAAAGTCAACATGAATAGGGAAAAAAAACACTCAATAGAAAAATCATAGACAACTGGAAGGAACAAAATCCACTACCACCCATACTAAGCTACAGCCAACACCACCATAATCCCCCGAGCTACTGTGGTCATCAAATGCAAAGAGACACACATAATAATGCAAATGGGCAGACAATGAAAGCCATAAAGTTACTATTTGTTTCCACCAACACCACCATCCTAGTAAGGGGGTAAAAAATAGAAGGCCTTAAAATCCCCTGTTAAGTCCTCTAGTCAGTCTGCCATATGCCCATTTTTTAACTTTGTAAGTTCATAACATGCCCGTATCACATCATCATCATTATCAAACCCTGTTCTCATTGTAACTGGATCAGGCACCAAACACAAGGTTCCCAGAATATCCAGAAGACTTCGAACAAGTTGGCTTTCTCAAAATTCTCAGAGAATTGCAAAATAAGTCAGGAAGAAGAAGATGATAGGTTGCTATTGATAATATTTAACTGTGATCATAACAAAGCCAAGAGGCAAAAAGAGATATACCAGGGTAATATTGATGTTAAATATAATATAAAGGAAAATGTTGTATCACATTTTCTAAGCATACTTGTATGAACAAGCATTGAATCAAATGAATTACGTTCCTTTATATGTTCTCATAGCACAAGTTTTATAGGAACAAAATCATGCACTACCCCTTCAAAGTATGAGTCCCAAAGTTACTGCAACGATCTTGGTGACAGAAACTGATTTTTCTTTTAAAAAAAAGGTAATATTCAATGCCAAGAAAGATTGGGAACAGATGCTCCATTTTCTTCTCCTTTCTTTTTTTGTCTATGACTAAGAGTGGACACTTATATTGCAAATTCATTTTGTATGGACACCATATCAGACACGGACCCTTTTTTTCATATCATCGCCACTTTTTGTATTGTACTTCCAAGATTTTGTGCTTCATTTCATCTCACTTCTGGGTTGGTGCATCTGTGACCTAACAACATATTGTGTGTACGCTTGTAATATGGACACAAGATATTATTACCTTTGTCGGGTCAAGGCCAGGCTGAAAGCCAATCCCAACAACCCTTTCCACTCTTTGAGTATGCAACCTTGTTGAACAAACAGGCCTACAAAATAAATTGTAAACAATACATCAATATAAAGCATTTAAGGACAAAATTCAAAAGAAAATAGAAAAATTTGAAGGTCACATCTCCCAATAAATCAACATAGCAAGCTTTCATGACTATCAGAGTGAACTTAGATACTATATTAAAACATCAGAATGAACTTACAGGTCAGGAGCACGAACATCAAAGATTCTGACAGACCCGTCCACAAAGCCACCAGCAAATTGGCCTCCATGAACTTGAGATGCAGACTATAAAAACAGAATAGTGTCAGAAATAATAAATTGTTAATAAATAGATTGACAGCTTATAATGTATGAGAAACAAAAAAAAAATGTGTAGTATGAAAAAACTGTAAGAATCAAGCAAGGTTAACAAGCGGAAAATCACAAGGTGTCATTAAGGTTTTTTGGGGTTTAGGCGGGGCTTAAGTAGGAAAAACTGCCAGGTCAACTTTTTTTTTAATAAGGGAAAATATTCAAAAAATAATAAATAAGGAAAAATCAAAAATTATAAAACAAGCAAAAACTGGAAGAAACAATTCTCCAATTGCACATATATGTTTATACAGATCTTAAGCATGAAATAGATGTGTAACAATACTTAGATTCAATCACGTAATATTAACAAAATATTATACACAATGTAATAACATTCGGTGTAAGTTATCAAGTAGCCAATGGAATAACAATGACTTGATGTAAATATTATACAATGTCATAACAATAATATATTATACACAATGTAATAACAATATAATATTAACAAAATATTATACACAATGTAATAACATTTGTGGACTATGTGCATCAAATAGCCAACAAGTTAAATGACTTGATGTAAATTATCAAAGAGAGTTTTCGGTGGTCGATTTTGGGTTTAGTGTCTGTTTTTTACCCACTTTTCATGCCGCATCCACTTTGGTGCCGGCTTTTTTGACTGTAAAGCGGCTAAGGTCCCATAACGCTTAAGCGCAGCTTTTTACAACATTAGATTAGAATGACCTCAAGCTCACAAGCACTGAAACTAACAAAATAGTTCAACCAAGTAAGTTTGTCCACTGATACATTGGAGGATGAAGCGCCCAAACCCATTTAAAAATAGGGAAACTAATGATTGTCATGGATAAGGAGGAAAGAAGACTAGCAGGGACGAAGGCCTAAAACTAGGGATGTCAACCTATCATATAAGTTTTATTGCACATTTGATCGGGTGGAATCTTTATGAAAATAAGGAACTCAGGCCCAATATGGATAATAACGAAATTATTAAATAGTGCTGATAATTTGAAGGGAAAATGAACTCAACCTTTTGCTTTCGGCCCCTTTTATATTGAGATAAGAAGAAGAAACTGAATGACAGCAGCTGTATCACTATGCCCACTTTAAATCCGTACTCACCAATTGCATCAGTGAAATTTCAAGTTGTGATTCTTCATAGATAAAGGGGTTTTCTCACATACACCCACCAAATTATAGGTATTTCTAAAAATTACCCTCTAAACTATCATAATTGCTATTTTGCACTTCAAATTATAGTATCCACTTTAACTTTCAAGGAATAAAAATGGCTAAACTATCCTTTAAGGTAATTGAACTAAATAAACTGGTATGGTTGAAAATGATCAAACATCTTAAAATTGATAGAATAAACGATACACCAAGGCTTGCGACTCTATGCATCTGAACGAAACACCAAGAGAAGTAGAAACCAATGCAATCCAAGTGGATCAATCATGCACTACAAAGCATATTGAAAGTTGAAACATTAGAATAGAAAAACACTTGCTGAAAGATAGATGCAAATTTTACATCATATAGGTCAAAAATGATTAATCTCAATCAATTAAAAAAAGCAGGAGAATAAATTTTGTATATATACAGTAGCAGGGAAAAAACTAACCAAAGCCGATAGACTACTGTCTGAAGAAGATGATACGGAACAAACATTCTGCTCTTTATCGAGATCCCAAACCAAGATAGATGATACATCACCAGACGCATACTGTCAACAAGATAAAGACAGAAAACTGTAAGCACCTAAAAGCAATGGCAAAACAAAAACAATTATTCAAGATATACTACCAAATAGCCAGAATTCTGTTGCCAGTCCACAACTGCATTCAAACTTCGACCACCAAGTTTATGACTTTGAGTGGAAGAAAATGCTGTCACAAGTTTCTGTTTACCCCTCACAGTATAATCCTTCCATATCCGAACATTTCCATCGCCTGTTTATAGCATGTGTATAGCGCCATTCTCAAAAAGAATACTAAAAAAGAGCTTTCTACAACTGACAACAATACCTACAAGTCCGACAAGAAGAGATGGAACTTACTTGAAGCAACTAGAAGTAAACTATCATCAAGCTCATTTACAAGGCAAAGCCTTGAAATTCCTCTGTCAGATAAATTGTGGTTGTCAAAAGTGTTCAGTGAGGTAGCTTCCTCATAATTCCATACCCTACACAGTTAAAATTAGGTATTAGTAGCATAATCATATGCTTGTAGTATCTCAATGCTAAAGACAGGTTGTACAATGTATGCTGCAAAATTTTATATAATAAAGATGTAAATGATTAACTAGCAGTGTTACCCTACTAGCTTTACTCAATGAAACTGATTTGATACATAAACCAGGCTGATGGAGAAGGTATATCAACCAGATTTACTCAAAATGTGTCCATAGCATTACAAGGAAGGAATGGGCCAAATGATAAAGAGGTTCACTTATTGACTATATCACTACGCAAACATCCTAATGCAGCCTACACAGAGACAGGCACGGGCCAAATAAGCACTTGCCTGATTAAAGGCACAGCAACTGGGCAAGGCGCACAGGACATATAATGACTTGCGTGAACAGTGATGCAACTAAAGCAGTTGAGATGAAACTTTTCAACTATTCAACATGTAATCCAAACAAGGATAGCTGTTTTGGACAACTACTATCACATTATATCTACACTTGGTTAACTATGCGCAAAACTTATAGCAAATGATCATGTTGCCAGCAATTAAATTAAAGTGCATGCTTTAAGTTTCTATACCCTGTGCTCGAGATCCAAAACGGATACTTCTAAGCAACTTCCATAAGATGAAAGGTTTTAGCTATCCTTAGGCTTAGCATAAGAAAAGTCTTATTGATGAGCCAGCTGCACTGCTCAAACTCTTCTTTCCTATGTGTCAATCTGCAGTGTATTATCTGCTTCGTTCTTATAATATGTTTCAAGTTGAAACCTGTTAAAGAACACAAAGAAACCCATTGGATGGCTTACCGCCAAGAACAAAGCTACAAATGAAGCAAGATTAGGAAACTCGTGAGAAGTTAATTTCCTCCTCTTACTATGAGTAAACCTCGAAGGCAACAAACTTCCTATACAGAACCATTTAAAAGACCTGAAACACATTTAGTGAACTGGTATAGCCAACAGTACTAATCAGGGTCTGATTCCTTGGATTCCATACTCTGCGATTACTTAAATCTTTCCCATTATTACACTAAATAACACTCAGAACATCATGGCAATGCATAACTGCTTTTGTAAATCATGATAATAATAATAATAATAACCCCGACACCAAAAAATGAGCCGATGCGCAACTTTTAAAAAAATCAGAGACCAATTATAAAAGTCTTATGGGCATAGGACAAGCTTGATACTTCAGAGAGTATACATAATGATACAATGTTTCCTAAGAGAGAAATATTCTACGGATATAAACCTCAATAATCAGATTGTGATGATGGAGATGGCATCAAACAGATGACTAAAATTAATAAGAAACCACTAACCATTATGCTTGAATTCAGTAACACTATAAACCATGAATGCACAAATAGAAGTTCTTTAAATTAGATATTATGTTCATTGAATACAGTCACAAAGCCATTACACTGAACTAAATTACCATGAACCATTGGTTATTAGCCATAATGATACAATGTTTCCTAAGAGAGAAATATTCTACGGATATAAACCTCAATAATCAGATTGTGATGATGGAGATGGCATCAAACAGATGACTAAAATTAATAAGAAACCACTAACCATTATGCTTGAATTCAGTAACACTATAAACCATGAATGCACAAATAGAAGTTCTTTAAATTAGATATTCTGTTCATTGAATACAGTCACAAAGCCATTCCACTGAACTAAATTACCATGAACCATTGGTTATTAGACATGACCCATATTTTCTGAAATCATACCCATAAACCACACGTTTGGAAGAAAAAAGATAACAGCTTAAAAAAAAGTTAACCTATACAAATCATAAAGATAAAAAGGATGACCAAATACCAAGTAAATGACATTTATTTAGAATGCAATTAGAAGCACGCATGTGAGATGTACATCTCCAAAAATAAAACAAAATTATATTAACAGCATAAAACATTCCCTCCAAATAATACTATCAGACAAAGATTATATACACCTTAATCACCTGATTCTTTCGTTCTCGTCGGCAGCAACAACAATAGGTGAAAAGGGTAACAGCAGTGTGGCCTTAGTACCAGTTTCAAATCTGGTATCCCAGCTAGCAATTTGATTATTAAGCGTGCTTACAGCTGCAATGCAAAGAGACAAAATAAGAATAAAGATGAGTGAATAATACGATCAGTGTACAATACCCTGTAAACAGATGAAATGTATGAATATGATCTACTCACAACAATGCTGGCACTTGGCAATACGATCTAATGCAATTTTCTCCCTATCTTCTCTTCTAACTATGATTTCTTCATTATCATCAGCTGCTGTAAGAAGTGGCCTTGAAAAATGACCACAGCTCCAGTTGTATATAGTTGACTGTGGGAGTAGACTTTCAGAAGAACCTGATGGTCCAACAGAACCTAGAAGTGGATCGGCTAATCCTGATTCTGGGGAGTTCAGTAGGTGCGGCCTGAACTCTAGGGAACACACACGTCGTAACCCTGTTAAGTAATTTTGTTTTGGGGGGCTAACTGGAGGTGTCCTAAATGTCATTGGCAAATGACCTGCACAAGAAATTAACATAAAAACAAAAGCAATTTGAACCAAAATTCTACAATGTTATAGGCACAGGTTTGCAGGATTTGAGATGTAAATAACAAAGGACAAACACAAATAAAAACTGGATACACATTATTAAAATGGAAAAGCCTAAGAAAATGAAATAGTGATCACCAGCATTCATGTCAAACCACGATGATGATCGTGCCAATCCAGCAAGACTAGAGGGTACAGATGGAGCCGAATGTTCACCTTGGTGAGTACTTCCACTATACTTTGTTGTCCTGGAAATAACTTGCTCTATACCAATGATAGACAGAGTTCTCCTGCCAAGCTTTGCAATCCGAGGAGATGGATCTTTCGCCAAAGTAGACATGGCTAGAACACATTGGGAATACAATGCATTGTCAAGAGACCTAGATCTATTGGAATAGTTGATGACTCCATTGCTAGTAGTTTCTTTTACTAACATGCCAGAGTCTGAATGTTGAGAGGAGTCATCTGATACTGGTGAGCCATGCATGATCCCGGTAGATGCAAGTGGACTACTTGTGGAGATTCTTCCATCTCGACCAGTGGCCATGCTGTCGCTGCCAACTCTCGTCACAGGCCCAATTTGGGAGGAAAGTGATCTTCCCGGCTGCATATACTGGCAAGGGTTAGCACCATCACTTTTTGGACTGCTGATGTTGGCCAATGATGGCAAGGAATTAAGCATAGAGTTAGGTGGAGGCTTCCAGTATGCAGCAGCAACTGATTTCAAGTGCTTGTTGTGACCAAAGGCAAAGCGGGCAAGAGCTGTCAAAGAAGGTACAGTCTTATTCACAAATCAATTAAACCAAACTGACCAAAGCATTGCATCATCTGAATCACTTTATCCTAAGTAATGAAAAAAAAATGAAAAAAAACTACAAGGAAAATGGTCTCTATCATATGTTCCATAAGATTCTCTATGGAAACAGCTTGAGAAAATATATTTAAAAAACTCTGGAATGGTATCAGATGCCATTCAGACAGAGATGAATTAGAAACAGCGCGCACATGTTCATGCAGCAAACAACAGACCTCCACTGAAGTAATATCTGAGCAATATAGGTTCATTGGACATATATCAAACACAATTAGAGAATGGCAAATAATCATTTCTGAACATGATAGACCCTCTTATGGATTCATGTTGAAACACGGGGAAGAAATGATGACTCCACATAACTTACACATTGTACTTCCTTCATTAAAGTAAAAACTGCACGTGCTCACATGCAGAAAGATGATTGTTGTGTGCATGTGTTATAGTGGTCGTGGTATGCTGAAGTGGCATGGATTTTAAGTTGGCTGTAAAAAGATGCTCTATAAGATTCAACAAGCCTTATTATGGTTGAATAAATACCACTTGCAAAAAGCAATAGTAAAAAAGTAACGCCATAAATAATTGAGTTATCACCTGGTGAGGCTCTATTAACAATAAATCAATTCTGGACATATACGAAATATGAAGGGTCAATAAAATGCCTTTCAGTTTAAATAAACCCATAAAACTGGGAAAGAGAAATAACCAATAACCGATCTGCATGGCACTAATAAATTTTCGGCGCATTCCCAATCCAGACTCTAAAACTCACGATCCAAGAACCCAAGAGCAGTAAAAAACTATGTTAAAAATTGAGTTATCCTAATGTATTTGGCTTTAGTGTCTCCCCCTCCCATTTGAATTATTTGTTGGACTTTTGAAGTCTGAGTGACTTTGATTAATCTTATTTAATTAGAACTATACACTTCTTTAAGCAGTTGCTTCACATTATATCTTGTATAAGAAACTGATTAGGGTCTTAGATATTAGAAGATCAAGCTACTACTATTGTCAAACTTGTTTACTGAAAGTCTCTGCATATCTATGTATTTGTAGCTGCAAACCATATACCTTACATGGTAAAGAAGAAAATGACACGTTGAACACTTTATCTAACTGTCTACACTACATAGCAAATATTGTTCAAAGTATCATATTGAACGTGTACCCCAAGACAGGCCTCAATCCAGCCAGGCTCAGTGTTCAACAATGCAAACAGACTGAAAGAGGACTTGAATCCAAGACCTGAAAATTAGGTTGGATTTTAGGGTAGATAGAGTGCTACTACTGAACCAAGTTGCAGTACAAATGACAGTTACTTTAGTGAAATGGTAGCTGCTCTAATGAGGATGATGAACTTATGTTATTAAATACTAAAATGTCAGTATACTAATGCATGAATTCAAGACATAAAATAAGACAATAAGAAATGTTTGGCATACCAACAGCCACCTCTGCTCTAACAAGAGGACTGCCATCTGCAACAACTGACAGAAGGCTCCTAATGATGTTCAGCTCAGCCTTTGTCTTTTCATCATCATCACAGTCATCATCAACACCATTTCCATCTCTAAAGTCTGATCCAACTTCAAGGAGAGTTCCCAGAGCAAAAACTGCAGAAGCTCTAACCTGTCACGAGAAAAAAGTAGCCTGGTCAAGGAAAAGGACTAAGCTTACAATTGGGAATGTTAAAATTTATTGGAGAAGAAGAAAATATCTATCACCTCGGGTTGTGGTTCTGACAACAGAGGTACACATATAGAAGGTGCATCCAACTGCAAGCCTATGAACTGTGCTTCTGGGTAATCCTCCCACAGCTTTCCAAGACAGAGACAAAGCCATTGAAGAAGTAAAGGTTCAGACTGTACTTCATGGGGACTTGCGAGTTGTAGATGTCTCAAGCATACATGAATTAGACTCTCCTTAGCACATGCCTCTTGCCCTCGCCTGTGTCCATCTACAATAACTGCTAAAACAAAAGCAGCCATCGCACGCTGCTCGGGGTAAGCATCCATGCTGTCAAGAAACTTGATGAAATAGGCATGGCCCCCATCTTTTACGAGATCAACCTGACAAGACTAAAAATCCACGAAAAAAATAAACAAAGAATATTCCGAAGGTTAACCTGCTTCTCTTCGAATAATGCCAAACAAAAACACATCAAAAGCATATAACAAAAAATGCGATACTGTTAAGTTCAAGGTTAAGTTGATCTCAACAATACCTTATCAAGGGCAAGAATCTTGGTCCATATGAACACAAGAATTTGCCGCAGCTCCATTGCAGTTGTTTGTAGCAGCTTTAACACGTATGGAAAGATTCCAACAGATAAAGCCTAATGGTCCAAAATGTGATGTTGAATTAGGCTCGCAAATTTCAACTAGATTAGTGAAGAAGGGGAAAAGAGTACAAGAATGCAGAAACAGTGAAAATACCAGATCCACAGCCCATGGTCCCATATCAAGGAATCTTCCAAGAAGTACTAGTGCACGGAATCGATGTGATTGGCTAAGCAAAACCTAGAAAAACCATCAAGTGATCAGAAAAAAAAACCCAAATGAGCAGGATAAATATATGATTCATAACAGTAACAAGACAAATCTACAGAAAACATGCATATCAAGAAATCAACAGAGTCCGATGACTCTGGTCAATTCTTTATATTAACGGTTTTTAAATTAGGCAAAAAGATTCACATCTTCTCCACTACAAAGAGCTCAATCAACAACTAATTAAAATATTACAGAGCACTACAGGATCGAACAACGTCAGGAAGAAGGAAAAAAAAGTAGAGGGCTCCTTTTGATACCCAAAAAAAACTACACATTACATCCATCTAATAGAAAACTCAAAGTTAAAATACATTTGCTCTCTAAAGTTGGTGGGGTGATATTGTTCGGTAATTGATTCTCAATGACCTTGTTCCCTGGACAATTATCAATCAATCTTCATCTTAAATCTCTTTCTACTGTATAGCTACCTGTAGATGCGTCTTCATAGGAAAAGAGACTCAGTAGCCTTGTGACATGTCAACCATAATCATCATTCAGTCATGAATCGTTATGAAAAAATTGATTATTCCGAAGGACCAGTGTCACTGACTCCAGTTACAGTCAGAGAATTACCTAATCTATTGCCTCCTATTATATATTTACTTGGGTCCATATAACTGTTAACATATTTACCAATTCATCTATTGCTAATGCTTCTTTTCTTTGATAGAATCACATCCTTGAATTCTGATTATAATTAAATGTATATGTATTGTCTGTACCCACTGAACAGTGTAAAAACAGAACCTTCCATATTGGTTGAGAAATTCAATTGGTGCAAAATTTAGGTAATAGGCTTCATCCCTTAGTAACGTAAAGCCCTTATTCTTCTTGCTACCAGTAAACCTTAGCAGACCCAACAAACTGTCACAAGAAAACTAACGACTGATGTGAACAACAGGAACATAAACAAAATCTGCTTCATAGACCTTCATAATAAATATAATTAAAAAGGACAAAAATTATTAAAACACCTTATGAGAAGCTCAGTCACCAGATGAACGAACATCATAACTTAACAGGAACAAAACAATGAGACACAAATGCTCACCTGGAGTACTATTGGCAACTGCTCCGGTGGCTTCTTACGTTCAGAACCATGGTCAAGCCAAACTTCAAACGCCATCAACTGTTCTGTGAAAAAGGGGCTTGGCTGAAGAGGGAAAAAAGAACAAGAAGTCCAAACAAATTGGGTATAAGAAAGAAATAACACAGGATAAATTCATATTGCTGAAATTTTGAATATTATGTCATCCATAAGACACTTGCAATAGAAGTTCAAGAAACAGTTAATCAAGCACATAGCAGTGAAGGAACATGCTTCAACAACACCAAACAAACCTGAAATTCCATATTTGGATCATCAATTAGTTGTGGAAGCTTAGAAAGACAAATCTCAGCAGCCATGTCCCATGCATCCCTGTAAAGTGTAATTGTTGAGCAAAACAAATGTGAACACTGGGGAAGTAAAGATAAAAAATTCTACAAATACATATACCACATATGATGTTGATGGGTTGACGGCAATAATGGATAAGATATTGGGGAACAATTTGCTGTCCTCATGATTCGCTCAGCTAGCAGAAAATTCCGAAATAGGCTAGCGACAAGTAGATCTTGTCTAAACAGCCTTTGAAAAAGATCTGCAAATTGCCAACTCCCACATCAGCACACTACCGAAACCCACTCTAGAAGATATCATGTATATTAGGAAGAAATTACAATCAATGTAAATCCTTACCATGAGGAAGAACATTCCAAGCAATTGTATCAGTGACAGCAGTAAAAATCCAGTTCAATTCCCCCAGAAGTGTCTTACGGTCATTCTGGCGACCTGGAATTTTGTCTATAAGAGAATGGTCTAGGAAATCATGAAGCAAGGACCTTGAACAAAACCTGAGCAAGAGACGAGAATAAAATGTTTAAATGAGAAGTAAACATGTACTCTGGTAACACAATTTGCAAAAATTAGAAGCAACACGCTTTAAACGAATTTAAACATGTCAAAGACAATGAATATGCATATATTAAGTGAAACACACTTTACAAAAAAAATCAGTACAAATCTTTCCTGCAAGAACCTTACTCTACTTCATCAAATAAAGCGATCTGATTATTCTGGCAAGATGCCTTGATGAGATACCAAAGTGGCATTTTAGATATATGTGCATGATGATTAATTATCTGCCAAAATATTGTAGATAGAGTTAAATTTGTATGAAAACACCATTTAATGATTTGTATGCGTAGCACCATGATGTTCTGCTAAGATCTGACCTATAGACAAGGCCTGGAAAAAAAATAGAGAGAGGGGTCCAAATAGTTTTGCAGTCATTCAGAACAACAATAGTTACCAGTACACTTACTGGCAGCAAAAGAAATTTTCCAGAAGTAGAATGTCCTAATTTCTAAATGAATAGAATTGTAAATGATATGATAACAGACATAATGAGAACTCAAATGCGCACATAAAAGACTGTCAAATTTACACCAGAGTATATAAGAAGTTTCATGGGCCACAGGTGCGATTTTGATATATCCTTTTTCAGCGTAGCCTAAAAGAAGTTATACAAATATGAGAAAATAGAAAGAGAAGGTTACAAAAAATAGTATTAGGAAATATAAGTCAAGTTACCAGGAAACATTGCGAGCAACTACATGCACAACTACATGCACATATTTATGCGGAAGATATAAAGCAACAACATGCACGTGTTTATGCAGAAGATATATAGTTATAACAACTAGATATAACCAGACAATGTAGTGAAGACAAAAGGATATAAAACTGACCACCGTAGTGCCATTTTAATAGGTGTAGTGAGACAGGAAGTGAACACATCAGCTGGAAAATCAGAACTTTGTGGGAGAGTTTCATGTGATTCACAGGCGGCAAGCAGAATACAGTCCTTTGATGTAGCAGATGCACCAGAAGAATTCCACTCTTGACGCTAGAAAAAGTAAACATAAGAACAGCAGAAGCATGAAAATATCAACAAACTTCTACCTTGTCCCAAATGGAAAAAAAAATGATTAATATAATAGCAGGACAGCTGTTGTACCTCTATAAATGCATTGACAATCATCCCAGCAGCTGAACAGTCAAAAACATATATTGACGGTGTCTTCAACCAAGAATCAAGATCACTTATGGGTAATGGTATATACTGTGTGTAACTCTGTACAAGATTCAGTAATCAAAACAACTAATATCTAGCCTTGTTAATTGTTATCAAAACAAAGTTTCATATATCAGAAATAACCTTATTGAAAACCCAAATTTCACCATTCGTTGTAGGTTTTGGTACTCCATGACCGTTGTAATGAAACAAGACTCTCTCCGACCTGGCATTTTTGCGGCAATTATTACAAAGCTTCTTCACTTCCTCCACTGTAGGATCAAGTTGAAGCTTGTAACGAGCCTGTTATATATCAGACACAAAATTTTCAACTTCAGGTGGGTTCTCAAGTAATGGCAACAAATGGTGAAAGAGATCCACATCAGTTACCCGAGGTTGCCATCGTTCATATTGAGCATGCAAAGTCTTCCCAATAGTCTCAAGAGCCTTTGGGGCAGCCATAGAATACGGATCTGTTACATCCAGAAAGAAAATCAAAACTATCAATCAACTACAGGTTGTGGGATTGATGTTGTTAATTCTTAATTGTCCTCATGTTTATTATATATCTCCATTAATTCAAGTTACATAGTTCTATATGCTTCCCTTTCTTATTACTTCTTAGCTTGATGTAGTTCAATTCTTTAGTTATAAATTTTAATTTTTACAGTATCCACTCTCTTCAACGGTGCTGCTACCCCAAGCACTTGCAATCGAATCGCAACCAAACTGCTGATAGTAGAATGAAACTGATTATTTGAAATCATCAAACAATTCACAGCGCATTCATAAATAAAGTAAATGACAACGAAGATCAGACGATGCCAGGGCATTTACTTAATGATAGTCTTGCACGTGAGTTTGTACTTTTTTTCCTTTTTTCCCCATTTTCTGTTCTTCTCTGTGGGTGTGCATGCATGATATGTTTGTTATTTACTTTCACAAAAGAATCTTTTAAATGATTAAAACAATATTAGTGAAGTCATTTGTCAATTTAACTTTTTTATCCTATTCCTAAAGAATCAAAAAGTAGCAGCATCTAGATGAACCTTCCATTTATATGCCTCACTGTTTCATGCTCACATTACACTATGAACAATTTTCAATCCAACTTCATAAGCGCTGCAAAACTCTTAAAAAGCGTTGTGGACAACTAAAATTTCCATGTCAAAATTTTGAAGCAAGCAGTAGCTCAAGCTGTGGACGTTCATATCTGAAAAAAGATAATCAGCAATATTGTCCTGTAATAGTACTTGGCTATACAGGAAACAAAACAGTAGCACATGATTAGCGTTACCTATCCAGCATTCCATTCTGGCACAAGGAGAAATCTTTATTACATCAGGTGGATCAACGCCAATGTTTAAACACAACACAAGTGCCACACATCCGGTCTTCATCTGCACTAGAAATCTTATAGTCAAACCAATCTGCAAGCTAAATTATCATGTCAATTCTCTCACCTGATGGATAATAGGGAGAGAAATACAAAGAGGAAAAGCTTTAAAATACATTATAGATGTTTGAAAAATAATATATTCACAACAAAACAGAGGATCCCTTCAAAACAATAGACAGGAACCTTCTTAGGTTCCCTACAAACAACTTCTTAGGTTCCCTACAAACAATAATACAATTAGTTGAGGCGGGGACAAAGAATAAAGGTAAATAAAAAAATTTAAGACCTGTGCACAAGAGTGAGAGGCATCTTTGGACGTGAAAGAGGTCACAAGGAAACAAAAGAGCAATTGATTAAACCAACACAAGGCACAAGGCTTTAAAGAAGCTTTATGTTAGAAGAGTTAATAATTTTTCATCAAATTGTCTTTCAATTATACTTCGCTGGTTGATCGTCCTAAGAAAACTACAAGACCTCTCAAGTCCAGATCCAAATGCTCAAAAAGTAAACAGATGAAAGGGTAGTCACATCACTTGAATTATGATTCCATTGTTTACCTGATAATCCCATAGAACAAACTACTAAACACAGAATAAGTGTATGCTCCAAAAGATTGACTGAACCCAACTGTCATGAGTTATTAAAAAATTCCTATGTAAGGACACTCAATTTTGAAAATTACGCATAAATTTACCTGCTGGAGAGGCTATAAGAAAACAACTTTCTTAAGACAACCTTCAGCAATTCCAATTAATCTAAGACTTATTTGAAAGTACATGGAAATGATACCAAACAAATGTCGAAACTGAAAACAGAAAGCATGACACTTGTTTAGAACCCAGCTCAAAAAAGGAGACACTATAAGTTAGCCTTCATAGTCTTCAGACGAAAACTATTTAAAGATTGTAAGAAATAAGATAGAGACTATAAAAAAAAAACTACCTCAACATTCTATCTACTGACAGTAGGGCCTAACTATGTTGTGCTACTGTTTTCTTCAAGGGAAAAAACAACAGCTAAAACTCAACATTGCTAGCTAAACAATATTTAGGCCCTTATTTGTACAATGAAAAGACAGCAGGTAAAAATCATTTACCAAGTTTCTAGGATACTGGGAGCTAGAAGGTTTTATGTGATATTTCTATAAAATTGGACAGAGCATATAAGCTCAATTCAAAGATAGCGTAGTATATATTATCTTGGTAGCAATTGGAAGTATCCTCTACAGCCTAAAAAATACTAAACTAATTGAACAATGCTTTATCATTAAATTTATATTGGTCTCTTACCAAGGTGGTCTTATGTACCATAACTGTCAAACAATCGGGAGATTCTAGCGCAACAAAATTGGATTTCCACATTGTTGGAGATAAAAAGAAGCCAAGGAAATACCAAAACTGGTCAATTTCAATAAAAAATACTTCAACATTGTTATATAAACCCAGACACGTTCATCCTAACTTTCTTCTCCTTAAGTTTTATATTAGATTTCCTTTAGGATCTGTTTAGCATTGCAAATGTGAATACATGCACCATTTTTAAAAGCAAATAAGTGCTTTTTAGAATTTTAGATGTATGATAAGTTGATAGCCAATTTAAAAATAAAGGTTTTGAGAGAAGAAGCACTGGTAAAGAATTTGCAGTGTGAAAAAGCCAAATTTCCTCGCTTCTCTCAATCAGAATCAATGTGCACTGTGCAGGTAGTTTTTTTTAATTTTTTTTCAAAACTGAAAGCATCAGATGATTTGCAAGTATAGAGAAAAACTCCAAAAGCAATCTCTACGTCAAAGAGGGGAAAAGAAAGAAAAGAAAGAGGTGGCAATCAACAATGATATGAAACTGGGAACTTTTTCTGATTTTGGTGTTTGCTTTATTTAGGAAGGAATTTTGTTAGAACCAGTAGACCCAACTTCAAAATATATATATAGCAATAATGCCAAACAATCATTTAAAGTTTATAACATAAACTATAATTAGAGTCCAAATAGATAGACTGGATTCGACTATATCAATTCTAATGCACAGCACTAACCAACTTAGATATTCATATTTATATTTAAATAGGTTTTGGATCCAAACATGAAAAGACTCTATACTTGTTCAGGTGTCACAAACAACAAAGCCTTTATACCAAATGTTTGGGGTACTCATTCTTTTATTCCGTTCGATTTTAGGTCATCTCCTCCATTAAGTGAATTATTATCATATCCTTCTTAACTGCTGGTAACCAAGTTCTCCTAGATCTATCTCTAGATGTCTTTGCCCCCATTTAACTATAATATTATTATTTTTATTAATTTGTGCATTAAAAGGTCTTCGTTGTATATGACCAAACCACTTCAGTCGACTCTCTTTTTATCCTTAACAATAGGAGCAACCACTAATTTAGTAATTTACTACGGATGCACTTATTTCCTATCCTATGTTTTAGTATATACTCACAAGACCATCGTAATCTGAGAGAAATTTAGTTGTGTACTTCGAGTGTCACATATTGATATTTATTTCAGATACAACTCTGGATGCATATCGCCATAATCAAAACATAACTGATTTCTTTTTTTTTCAACAATATTAGCTCATTTTTTCATTATTAAGACACATAAAGAAAAATAGCTTTCAGATGAAAGAGAAGTTGAGAGAAAATAGAAAAAAAAGATCTACCAATCATGATTTCCAAGACTTGGGACAAAACGGAGCCATATTTGTCTTATAATGTCTTATAATGCCAAGATTTTGTAGCGCATGCATTATTTTGTCAATATACATTTCGTATATTTCTTCCATACAACAAATTTTTTAATACTTTTACATGTTTGTCTTATTCAATTTCCTACCTACGGTTATCTATAGATGGATCGGATCTAATGAAGATAGTAAGGTGTGGTCCGTATGGATATAGATAAGACAATGCTCGCATTGTTCAAAATACTAATTTTAATACTTCCTGGGTGAATTTCTGAACAAGATATCTGAACTAAACTGCATCACAATCACAAATCAATTGGTTCCATAATAATTTACCAAATGTCACCGCCTGATGCTGATTGAATTGGTGTAAGAAATAACATAGCTATTTGCTTCAGGACTGTCTAATCAACATTGAACACAATACCAAGCAGTTGTCATAATCGACACAGGGAACTAGTTTGGGATAGAAGGCCAGTAGACAGAGATACTTCTTACCTTTGCAACAATCATATAAAACAAATGCACTCCTCAAAAGCGGCTCTTTTAGGAAAAATGTCTCCTTTCTCGTCTAGCTTTATTAAGTATGGCTTACGAAAGGATAAACATTATTGGCCATAAATTTTTGACCATAAACAAGTAGCCAACCCAAAGTGATGCCCAAATGACTAGCTTTTTTATCCTTCTTTACTCAGGAGGAAAGACATGAAAATGCTAATTGCTACTACCTCAACTTTATCAATAACACATGACTCTCAGAGCTCTCCCCAAATTGATTAAATGAAATTGCTAAGGCTCTATCAATACAGAGATGTGATATCTAATGATCAATTTCAGTCCTATCACCCATAATGAACTCAGCAAGCCACTTTCAAACAAAAACCTTACAAACCCCCTAAATCTCATTGCTCTTTTCCTTCCTCTTTAAGTTCAAGTCTCCCCTAGAGACTTCCAATGCAGATAAACAAAATATAGCTTATATCATCACTATTAAAGCAAATAAAAGTAGAATTCAAAACTCAAACTTACCCGATCCTTCGGCCGCCATTTCGAAACCAGCCCGCTCTCTGCCGGACCCAAAGGCACGTTCTCCTCAAACCCATCATGGCGAAAATCGCAAAGAACCACGGTCTGAGACAAGTAAGCAATACTACTAGTGGCCTTCCCAGCCCCCGAATTCACCGCAACATCAGCCTCTGATTCCCTCCCAACCACCGAATCCCCATCTTCTCTCGACCTAAACTCATCTACATGATTCGTCACGATCGTCAGCGACGATCCCGAAGACTGCGAGAGTAAAGGGGCAGGCATCAGATCTCCCAATGCCATTCCAAACAAAACCCTAGCTTCTGGCAACTTCACCCAAACCCTAGCCTCGCCATCAGCACCAAGTCTAAAACCCTAACACCGCCTATCGCTGAGAATCCTCCGATTGCAAGCGATCTCCGACGAGGACTACTAGATGAAGCCGCTGGACCAGCGGCGGAACGCGCTCCAGCTCCTGAAACCCCACAAGTTACTGTTTTTGGAAACCCTAGAATCGTTTGATAGTGAAAGTGAGAGAGAGTCAGAGAGGAGAATTAGGGTTTCGAGAGTGGAGGCGGAGAGAGGGGAAGAAGGAGCGTGGGAAATAAATAGGAACTTTTCTCTCTCTAGAAAAAAAAAGATTTTAAGAGAGAGAGGAAATGGATTCAAAATTCTAAAGTATTGTTTTTTTCCCTTCTTTTTTTTTTACGAACTTTCGGTTATTGTTGAAGAAAAAGGAACTGGGGTTTAACTGGATTTTTCATATTAGTCCTGGAAAAAAATTTTATTGCATAAAGTTCCTCAAAGACTTTTGAAGTAACACTTATGATATGAACCTTTATGGATATTCAGGAAACTATCATGAATAACCTTTTTGTTGATTGTAATGCTTGAATTGTGAAGGATGGTTGTTTCTATATATTAAACTTCCAATTATCACTTCATTTTCACAGCACATCAGGTGACCACATTTGATTTTTTTTCCCTTTCGATTAATATTTTAGTCATTTGCCAAATTATATGTACGGAGTTCCATTAAGAAAAGATTCGAGTGGGCTCAAAATAGGAATGAATGTAAAAAAAAACGATAGTGACACGGTGACTATAATCCTAACGTGTTTAATGATCATTGCAAATATGTGCAATTATGACATGTTGGGGAAGTATTTTTGGGCAAACTTGCAAATAGTATTCTGGCACCCATGAAAAAGAAAAAAAAAAGAATTGTGCTGTTCAACTTGTTGGCAACTCCCACTAATAATCATATCATATCATATCATATCATACTCTCTTTAAAAGCACGAGTTCGGTAAAATCTTTTAGTAGACAAAAATATCCTTGGAATTCAAATATTAATCCATCAAGTAAGAGTAAGTTGATAATTATTTGATGAATTCTTATTTGATATACATAGTATGAAGATAATGATACAATTTAAATTAAAATATAAATCTAAATGAAATTATTAAATGTTAAATTTATAAATGTCTACAAAATGAATGACATATATGCAAAAACCAAATAAATTAATGAGACAAATAATGTATGCCCCAAATGTTGAACCCAAGAATAACGCAGACCTACAAATGTACATAATGTGGATGAGATATATATAAAATCTACCAAACAAATTAAAGAGACAAAAGTCATTCTCAAAATTATAAAAAAGAAAAATTAAGGTAAACAAAAATCATATTCCCTTTAAAAGCATGAGTTCGGAAAAAGCTTTCCATAGTCAAAATTACGATGTACAATTACATGAAGTGTTACAAAAAAAAAACAAAAGTTTTAAAAATTAGACAAAATACTCTAAAAAATTTAAAATCGCACAAAATAAAAAGCTAAAATTTTAAAACTTGGCAAAGAAAAGAGTAATTGTTTGATATTTCTTTTATTAAGATATATAAATGTAACTTATTAAGGTTTACTAACTTTTTTAAGAATCTAAAAAAAGTCAAGTTGATGCTGGTAAAAAAATTATAATAATAACAGACTAAAAATATCCAGTCAAAGCATAAAAATTTTAAAAATATATGATAGATTAAATATTAATGTTATTATATAAATTAAAGTAACTACATATAATTTTATCAATATGTTAAGAGTAGCAAAATTACATAAGTATCATTAATTGATAGAAGACTAAATCGCAAAAAACTAATAAAAGACTATAATATAATAGCTTAACATTAATTGATTATAATTTATAAATATTAATCTCTAATGGTAATAATATTTATAGGGTAAAAATTACAAAGATTTATGTATGGAGTACTATCAGAAAATTTAGAGATATCCTTCAAAAGAATCAAGCAGTTTTTATTTCAAATGGAATTCGAAACGTTCATGAATCACTTCAATTAACACTAACATAAGTTATATCAAAGAAGCACTAACTGAATCCCCCATGAAGAATATATTGAACAACTTTGTTTCAATGAAAGAAACATTCTTCATGGAAGATAAAAGAAAAATTGTTATGCCATGACTCTGCGTAAGCAAAAATTATAAAATCATCTTTTTCCTTTTTCTTATATAGTATCACAATCCTGCGTGTGACTTTATTTAGGGGTATGACTACTAACGAATGATCACTGCGTGTGACTTTATTTAGGGGTATGACTACTAACGAATGATCAATTCTTAAAGACATGATCAAAGATAATGATGTAATAGCACTATTAGATTTCAAGATCTCTAAATATGAAGGTAATATATTTCATTACTAAAATTCTTATTAAATGCCACATAGTATGAAGATAATGATACAGTTTAAATTAAAATATAAATCTAAATGAAATTATTAAATGTTAAATTTATAAATGTCTACAAAATGAATGACATATATGCAAAAACCAAATAAATTAACGAGACAAATAATGTATGCCCTAAAGGTTGAACTCAGGAATAACGCAGACCTACAAATATACATAATGTGGATGAGATATATATAAAATCTACCAAACAAATTAAAGAGATAAAAATCATTCTCAAAATTATAAAAAAGAAAATTTAAGGTAAACAAAAACCATACTCCCTTTAAAAGCATGAGTTCGGAAAAAACTTTCCATAGTCAAAATTACGATGTACTATTTTAAATATTTAATTTAAATTATAATCTATCTAATCATAGTTATATCCTATCCTAGCTCGATGATTTAAATAAGATTAATAAAATATATGAAACAACTCTGTGGTATCAGTTTATTACATGAAGTGTTACAAAAAAAGCAAAAGTTTTAAAAATTAGACAAAATACTCTAAAAAATTTAAAATCGCACAAAATAAAAAGCTAAAATTTTAAAACTTAACAAAGAAAAGAATAATTGTTTGATATTTCTTTTATTAAAATATATAAATGTAACTTATAATTTAAGGTTTACTATCTTTTTGAAGAATCTAAAAAAAGTCAAGTTGATGCTGGTAAAAAAATTATAATAATAACAGACTAAAAATATCCAGTAAAAGAATAAAAATTTTAAAAATATATGATAGATTAAATATTAATATTATTGTATAAATTAAAGTAACTACATATAATTTTATCAATATGTTAGAGTAGCAAAATTATATAAGTATCATTAATTGATAGAAGACTAAATCGCAAAAAACTAATAAAAGGCTATAATATAATAGCTTAACATTAATTGATTATAATTTATAAATATTAATATCCAATGGTAATAATATTTATAGGGTAAAAATTACAAAGATTTATGTATGGGGTACTATCAGAAAATTTAGAGATATCCTTCAAAAGAATCAAGCAGTTTTTATTTCAAATGGAATTCGAAACTTTCATGAATCACTTCAGTTAACACTAACATAAGTTATATCAAAGAAGCACTAACTGAATCCCCCATGAAGAATATATTGAACAACTTTGTTCCAATGAAAGAAACATTCTTCATGGAAGATAAAAGAAAAATTATTATGCCATGACTCTGCGTAAGCAAAAATTATAAAATCATCTTTTTTTCTTTTTCTTATATAGTATCACAATTCTGCGTGTGACTTTATTTAGGGGTATGACTACTAACGAATGATCAATTCTTAAAGACATGATCAAAGATAATGATGTAATAGCACTATTAGATTTCAAGATTTCTAAATATGAAGGTAATATATTTCATTACTAAAATTCTTATTAAATGCCACTAAATATAAAATTCACCTTATATTTGTCTCAAATTTATAAAGGATATATGCATGTCATCATAAATTGCATCAATAATATATACCAACCCAAAAGATACAACTTACTGAAAAAAATAAGAGAATAGAAAGTAAACCAAGCAATCGTTCATATAACACCGTAAAAAATATTATATTGTAAAGTTAATATGCAGCACTCTTTCAGAGTAAGCTGGCAAGACAAAAGCATCTCTATTAAGGCTATTTATAAATGCAACAGAAATTCAAATTACTAATATATACAATCGTTATAACATTCGAAAGAGGTATGGTCTTAGAAAATCTACTCTAAATTTATACAATTAAACCTAAGAATAATTTACCAATATACAGACACACTATTGCACCTTTAAGGAAACGATAACTACCTTTTATAATACAGTTGAGCAATGGTTCTATGTTTGTAAAGGCTGCAACAAAAAAGTGGATAGAGATGTTAATAATAAGTGTCAAAATGGTAAATGTTATAGAATCGTCGGTGCTGTAGTACTAAGGTTAAGTGATATCCATTCTTCATGAAATAAATATATTAAAATTAAATATTAATATTATAATCTAAAGCAAATTGACAATAAAAAAATATAATGCATTTAGTTTAGATCCTCGTGGGAAATAAACAGAGAAAATGTAACATTATGACACAACAGAAATTTTTATTGGATGTACAACAGAAGAATTCATTGCAGAAAAAAAAGAGGTAGCTCCTAACCTTATTTAAGTATTAAATTAAAAGCACAAAAAAAATATATATATAAAATTAACATTTATTTTTATCGAAATAGAAAAAATCAAAGTCCATTCTGTCAGAATTTTGTGTTGAACATAAGAAATATATTCAACTTCTTTATGATTTTAGACGAGAAGACAAAAGATGAATGAGCCCAAGGAAAGATAACATGCTCCAGCCTCATATCATAGTCGATGTAAACGATGAAGACACTACTCTAGAATTGCCTAGGAAAAAGATAAAAATGAAGAAGGATTGATCTCGACTCAATAAAAACTAAAATAGAAGCAATAAAAGATAATGTTTCGTGAATTGTTATAGAGTAGTTTATTTTTTTTGTAAAATTAGGAACATTTAGAAAGGATTTTCATAAATTATTTTAGTGCTTTCATATGCATATGTGGATACTTTTATCATATAAAAGTGTACTAGAGTTAGCATTAATATTTAGTTTATGATTTTTTTCATTAACTATTTTGTCATTTTAGCCCGCTTTAAATCAATCATCTTGGCTCGTTGACTTTATTATTCATCTGCCTTTTATAATGTAATTTTTTCAAGTGTTTTTACTTTCATAGCACTATAATTCCTCAGGTCAAGCTCGATTTCATGTCGATCCAAATGAAATAAAAATTTAAATTGGCTTTAGATTATATCCTGACAATTCAACTATCAACATAAAAATTTAAAATTGGTGTAGCCTATTCAAACAAACATCAAATAAATAAATAATCAAAGTGTAATCGATGAACAAATTTTAGTAAGAAAACAAACCAAAAATACTAAAATTAAAGTGAGCAAAAATCATCAAAATGTAACCGAGGAACAAATTTTTTAGTAAGAAAATAAACCAAAAATACCTAATCGCGGTATTTAACCACGTGCATTGCACATGCATAAAATTCAGTAATCTTATTAATATCAGTTTGCGCTTGTTCTCTTGTTATTCTTCTATAATTCCGCAGAAAACCATAGGTGCATTGCTACATTTTCCAAGAATACGCAAACAACTAACAAAACATGACAAATTGTTCGAGACTTTTAAAAATAGCAGATCGTAAGTTAGTAACTCAACTCGAGAAAAAATAATAAGATGACCGTCATCGTTTTTTTCTTGATAAATGCTCGATAAAAACAGTCTTTATTCTAATATAACAGTGCCAAACAGATGCACATTTATTTATCCATAGAACTAAAAGAGAGACAGAGACAACGAGATGATGGCTCAGATCTCTCTGTTATCACAAATAACTCCAAGCCCAATATATATTGCACATATGCGAGATCCATTTCAATGCCTTCACAGCTTTGACATAGCAATATCCATCGCATCTACCAAGAAATCTGCATTAATCAAATTAATCATGTCAAGGGAGAAATAATCAAACTAAATACAGATAGAGAACGGAATGAAAACGGGGTTACGATTACTCACCAGAATCAGCCTTTGTGAAACAAAGAGGTGGTGTTATTCTGAAAACATTCCCAAAATGTCCGCCTTTTCCAACCAACACACCCATGTCTATGGACGATCAAAGATTAAAAAAAAATATCAGCTACTTTTCTTGATGTCGTTGATTATAAACAACACGAGGCATTTTCTGTGGTGAAAACTATAAAAAAATTGACGAATATCATATTACCTTTCATCTGCTCCATAACATGCAGGATTTCAACTTTTGCTGGAGTTTTCTTCTCGCGGTCATTAACCATCTCAACTCCAAGCATCAGACCTCTTCCCCTCACATCACCGATAACTAAAAAATACATTCAAAAACCAAACGATCATTACGTTATTCAAAGAAGCCCCCTGCAAAGCAGGGTCCTAATAATTTGCTGGTAGATAATATTTCAAAGAGTGAACCAAAAGAAAAAGGTATAAAGGGGTCTTGTCTGCAAGACTGCATGTGCTTATATGTACTTGCATATATATGCTTTACCCAGAGCAGCACTCGTTTAATTCACAAAAAATAACCTCGTTAACCCACGACATGTAAATTTCAGTTTTTAATTAAAAGGACAATACAAATATTTAATGGTAGTAATTTCAGACTTTCATGAATTTAAAATTTAGATAAAGACTTCCCTCTCCAGTAAAATCTTGTCATCATTTGGTATTTTGGCAATCTTAGAGGCATTAATTATGTGAGACATTTGACGAGAAAGTGAAGTCTGTAATTAAGTAGTTAAACTACAACCGTCATAGTATCGCACGAGGAACGTTTCCGAAAAAATGAGTAACCAGGAGCATCTATGGCATATTCAACATGAAAAGCTGGACATAGAATGAAAGATAGGAGCAAATAAAACAAAAAAGCACAATCACATGCAAGGGAAATGAAATTTTCATCATTACATCCGTGAAATCCCTACAATAGGATCCAGCCATAGAGTAAAAGGTTTTCACGCAATGAAAGCTCATATATTTTATCAATAATTAACCTAGTGACAAAGTAGTACTCAAAAACCCTCATGCACCGAATCACAAATTTAAACAGTAGGATTGAAAAACGCCACCGATTTTTATGCCCGTTGGTAAACAATATGACCTGAAAAAATTAAGATAGAAAAATGCACAACAGTTTGATGGAAAGTCACCTACTAAGGACTAAGGAGTATTACTTAAGCGGGAGTACAGTTATAGGCAAATAAACCAAAATGATGAGTTGGCTTTGTTTTTGGACGTCAGAAAACAGGACTAGGAGACAACATGGGCTGAGTGAAAATCAAAGATGAAAAAACATGCAATGCAACAAAAATACTCTGGCTGCAATAGGAATGAACAGACAGGGGGTTCTTAAGTACAATTTTACTTAAAAGATCTCACCCTGGACCTCAGAGTAAGCCCAGCAGAAAATTCTAGACAACATAAGGAAATTATACTGGTTACAGCGTCAAGAGATACATGAATGCATACATCACATGCACGTATATGTAAAGACAAAATTGTTATATGCAAAGAAAATAAAATAAATCATTAACAAAGATAAATAAGCTTACTTTCATGCTTTTCTTGGAGGGCTTTCAGTCGACCTTTTAAATAAGAACCCACGATAAATGCATTCTCTTGAAGCTTCTCCTTCTCAATTACTTTAAGAACAGCATGGCCTGTTGCAGTACAGACAGGATTCCCCCCAAAGGTATTGAAGTAGCTTCGCCGAGTCAAAACTTGAGCAATCTCCGGAGTGGTAACAACAGCGCCAAGAGGTGTCCCATTACCAATACCCTAATAACATTGAACAAAATTAAAATGAATTGAAACCCATGCAGTTAGGATTCCAAATTGACAGTGCCCAATTTGCACTCTGTAAGTTTGCACAGCAAAAACCTGAAAACTAAACCAACAAATTTCTAATGATGACTTTTAAGTTTACTAAACCTGATCCCTTTATTTATTATAGCCGACTCTGTGTGAAAATTTTTAGAATGGTGAAATGGCTCTAGCTTCACCTTTTACTGAAATGGCTCTAGTTTCACCATTTAGGATAGTAAAACTAGCTCAGTAGTCACTAGTCAGTAAGCTGAAAGAATATGTGCTAGTTTTTTTAACTGATAGATGGAAACAAAACCTTAATGTGAACTTATTCCTATTTCAATATGAGTGCAAAAAGTGTTCTGACGAAAAACTCCCGGAGCTCGTGCTAAAACTGGATCAAGAATTTACACATTGCCAAGGTTCGCAATTAAGCAAGAAGAAAGACTTCACCTTTGCCATTGTCACAATGTCAGGTATAACACCATGGGCCTCAAATCCCCAAAAATGGCTTCCAGTGCGAGCAAATCCTGCCTGCACCTCATCAGCTATACAGAGACCGCCAGCTTTCTTTATACTTTTATATACTGCAGGCAAGTAACCTGGAGCCAATTCCGAAATTCCACCCACTCCCTGAAACAATAGGAAAAACTTTAATAGAACCAATACAAAAGATAAACATGGTAACTAATAGAGAAAGAACCGTTAGGATTCTTTTCCTACAACTTGGATAAATTCTTTTCCTACAACTTGGAATCGATCTAAATTAGAAATGGAGGAAAGAGCATCAATTATAAATGGTATACCTGTATGGCTTCAGAAATGAAGCCGGCTACTCGTCCTGAAGTACCATAGTCAATGATTTCTTGAACATCTATGGCGTATTTTTCACCATCTGAACCAAAAACTCCTCTATATTGGTCTGGGTTCAGTGCATGGTGCACTCCACTCTGGAACAATTAAATATTATCAACACAAAAATGAAACTGTTGATTAATGGGGAAAAAAGGTAATGATTAATGGAAAAAAGGTAAGTGATTCATGTATAAAATATTGCGTTTCAGTGAACTGGAGAACAGCTTATTGTACATCCTCATTAATATGGAAAAACAAAATAAAACTCACGTGCATTTGTAGACAAATAATTACAAATGCTTGATACGGATAAAAAAAATCCTCCTAGATACTGCAACTTAAATATATACAGTTATATTTGGAAACATTAAGCAGCAACACACGGTCTTCATCTTCTAAATGTATAAGTACCTGTATGACATTAAATTTCCAGTTACACTGAGCAGTTGCACCCATTGTTCCCGCTGCATTACCATGGTATGAATTTCTTATTGAAATAATATCATGACAGCCAGTGTGGAGCCGAGCAATCATCAAAGCCAGCTCATTAGCTTCTGTACCAGAATTAGTGAAGAAGACAACCTGCAAAGAATTATCAAAATGTTTGCTTCAGAATAACTTGAAAACTGGCACACAGCAAAACAACTAGTGAAGACAGAACACCTTCGGCTAGGGGTCGAAGTTGATCTAAAAATCATCAAATGAAAGGAATCAAATTTGAAAATACATTTCATTTGCAAACACATTTTGATTTGTTTGATTATCAAATATTCATTTAAATTTTTGATCCTTCAACTTATTTCCTTAAATTTTCTAAGGAAATCCAAATTGTTTCCTTAGATTTAGGTTCCATGCTAACTTTGGGAGACTTAAAGAGTCCCAAACCGGTTCTTTAACAAAATGTTCAAATTACAGAGCGGTACATCATATTATAACGGATTAGTTTCCAAATTATGAGTTTAAATACTATTTATAAATCAAATTCTTTAGCCAAATGAAAGTATCTATTAGATCAAACAAAAATACTTCTTCATTAGATAGTTTAATTTTCGTAATTTCTAGAACATTAATCGCATGGGTATATTCAAATATTTGAAGATTATCCCGATTCAAATTCATAATGTTAAACAGATACAAATATGAACCTTTCATCATTCAATTTTATTCTTTTCTTGTCATACCTTGAGATCACCAGGACATTTGGAGGCTAATGCCTCAGCAAAATCAGCAATTGCATGGTTCAAGTATACAACAGTAGAATGCTGCAGGCGTTTTGTCTGATTAATTGTGGCTTCAATAACTTCTGGGTGACAGTGTCCACAACAAACAGTAGCAATACCACCGAAAGCATCGAGATACCGTCGTCCATCTTCATCAAACAAGTACTGCTTCTTTCCATCAACAATGTTCAACTACAAAACACAAAAAGGAAAAACCTTTTGAGTTCACCCCTGATACATTGTCACATCTAGAACAATAAAATTAAAGGATGATATTGAATGTTTCAAGCAAAAGAGAACTAAATGAACATCATATGAAACATTAGAAATAACATTTTCAGACATATCAAACATCTAGTGGATCTTGCAAACATCTGATCAGTATTAGGGATTAAATAGGTGTAAGTGGCATCATTATTGCATTGGTAACCGGAAGGGGTATATAGGAAAGTTATTATTTTCTTTTTCTATTTTGCTTCAAGTTTGGTGTTAGCAAGCAAATATACAACAAGAAGACCTTGTTGCATTACATTCCATCACGTGGCAAAGTTCATACCTCAGCACAAAACAGAGGCCAAACTGAAGCCCAGTTTTCATGCAGTAATTCCCATAAAAATAATCCATTTCATAAAAAACTAATCCATTTTATACATAAATTCAATCATAGCTCTGATAAACTTTCAAAATGTGCTGACCACAATGTCTACAATCTGCAGGTAAGCTTTTTTTTTTGGGAAGAAACAATATCTGCTTTGTTTTATGATCAGATTACCTGAAAGCATGCAAATTTAGATCTAACAATTACTGCTATGTTTTTGCAACCTTTATATGCTAGTAATATTTGCCTGTGTTTTTCTTAAAAAATTCCTGGAATCGTTCTTTTACTGCATCTCCTATTGTGACTGACATTCTCCATATAAACTGGATTTCCCTTTCTTTTCTTTGGCCTTCATGTACTATCAGAGTTTAAAATAATACCGCAAATGGAGTGACAAAATAACTAAAAATGATGTATAATTTGTACGTAGAAACCACCTCTAAAATCGGGTCATTATACAGAAATCACATTTGACTATCAATTAATACATAAACAACCTTTAAAAGAGTTTCATGCTGCAATCAATCATATGATCCATTTTTCAGTCGGACTCGAAAAATTTAACTAAAAGGTGGGCCCTTAAGCTTAATGGCAACACGTTAATGGCGGTTTATGTATTATTGACAATCAAAAGTGTGTATCAAATAGTCCCGGGCGCATGGCATTAAAAATGTGCACCAAGTGGATGTCATTCGTTAGATCATTGAAGATCAGGATTCGCGCATGTACCCAATGATTGACATCCATCTGATGCACATTAAATGCCATGGGCCCATCCCCACTGGATGCTTCCTCAAATTAAAGCTCGTTCCAGTATAATGATCATACGTTAAAGGTGGATAAATAAATACAAAGAGTTTAAATTAAATTTGCAGATCTTAATGGCGATAAAGAACGCATATGTCCATATACTCGGTTTGTAAGTATAAGATCTTCTAATTTTCCATCAACCCTCCGTACTTGGTCTAAAATACTCCGCCGGTACACGATAACAATTTGAACTCCACCGCAGAGCACTGTAACAATCATCCACATCAAATGAATCCAAGAGGGGTGGAAACTTATTTTGGAAATAGCAAAGATGCAATAATAGAACAAAATTGCTAAAAAAGGAAACTTTCCTCAGATTTAGATCTGAACAACCAAAAAATAGGTTAAAAATATAAAAATTAACCCCAAAAAAAACTTACAGGCTGCTTATAGAAGTAAAACATAGACGGGCTCAAATACTGCGACCGCTTCTTCAGAATCTCATCGGCCCTCGGCCCTTCGTACGGCGGCGGAGAGTAATCGAACGGGGGCATTTTGGGAAGAGCAGGCGTAGTTTGGGAAACATCGGCGTGGGCGAGTTGAGAGAAGGATCGAGCTTGGGAGAGAGAAGACGAGAGCTTGCGGGGGAATAGTCTCTGCATCTTCCCGTTGAGAAAGAAGCAGGCCCTTTTTGGGAAGAATGGAAAATTTTCTCTTCGATTTTTTTTTTTGTTCCCAAAATGGACCTCACGAGAGTTTGGTGGGTTTGATAGATTTTTGATGGAGGAGGAAGAGGGAAGAGTTTATATAGAGGAGGAGGTTTGTGCGGGTTTTGTAATTTAGCTTAATTAATGCAAATGATTAATTAATAAAGGGACCTTAATGCAATAGTTGAATGACTTAAATGCCCCCTCTCAACTTTGGTACGTGAGCAAGATACCCCCGTGGGATTTGTCCATGTGATGGGAACTTATGTTTGCACTAATTGGGGTAAATTTCACCAAGCACCTTCAAACTTTAAGCATTTTCCACTATAGTATTCTGAATTTTGTTTTTTTATGTTAAACCC